TATTCTTACACGGTAATTTCTTTTATCATTCTAATCATTCACTTCACACTTTTGAAACCAAATGGAATATCAAAGGTTCTGTAGGATTATTTTTGGATCCTGCACATGTTTCACCACACAATTAATCTGTTTGTCAGAAATACTAGTTAAATTCTTCTTCTCTTTACTACTTTCCTTTACTAGTGATTTTTCTCTATTATATAAGACAAAACTACCCCTACCCTGTAAAAGGACAGACTTCTGATGCTTTTGACTCCGTTTATTAAAGATTTTTCAATTGTGCACTAGGCATTATAATAAAATATTTTAATTTTTATAAAGTTTTATAATTGAATATTTTCCTTTATTTATATCTCATCCGCAGTATTTATTTAGTCTTTTTACATGTCTTTACTTAGTTAAAATGCAGAGAGATAAATATGGTTGTTACTTTGCAGGGAAGATTCAGTACATTAATATAAACTGTACACTAATTCCCCCAAAGCATATATATATGTTGTAAACCTGAAGACTTTTTACACAGCTGCTTATTGCTAAACAGTGCCTTGTCCAGAAGGGGACAATCTGTGTCTCTAATTGCTGTCACTGAAGCTGAGATTCATTATGTGACTTTCCCATTAAAATGTGAGCATTAATTTGTATAATGAAATATCACCCACTGCAGTGTTCATTAGCCATGCCCTACTGTATACTGCACATTGTTAGCTACCTAGAAACTGTAGTTAATTTCACTAATGGATATTTCCCTACTTAGTGTTTGGTAGGAAATTTATACTGTAACATTACCTCTTAAACTTTTAAGGAAATTTAAATTCAATCAATTATTTTCAACAAAAGTTTGGGATGTCATTAAGACAGGAGAAAAGGCATGCTGTACAATGTTAAGAATGGGAAATCTGGAGAAATCTAGAGAAATGAAAAGTCCTTTTAGTTCATCTTAGAAATGTAAGAATAAAGGATGTTCAATACCAAAATTGTCTCCTCTTGGAGCACACATACCCATTTTCCTTAATTATTCATATTGCTCATCCCACTACAAGCGCCTTCACAGAATGGCAACAGGCAGTCTTTTTTTAGGAAGAAAATGTGAATTGAATTCATTTAAAACAGCACCATTTTTACTGTATTTCATCAGTTCATCTAAGCAAGCTTTAAAATTGGTTAGTCACATTTCCAAGGGAAAATGCAGTAACACTGCAAATGTATTTAATACATCCAACACATGTAAGATGTGTGTCATACATATCGTAACATACTCTCAGTCAATAGACACAGCTCTGCCAAGATTTTTCTCCCTATCCCTCTCTTTCTTAGGTTTCTTCTCTTTAGCACAACCCAAACCTTCTTCAGGGCTCTGCTTTGCTCATGCATGTTATTCTTTTTTCATTACTCAAAGGATTTAACTGTGCCAGTCATACTGGGCATATACTCAAGCACCTAATGACCACACAAACCCAAACGGGTCTACAACTGCAGTGGCTTCTGAATGCTAACACAAGGTGCAAAGAGATGCTAGAGCTAACGTGAAACTGGCCCCTACATAATGTGTCGCTTGTCAAAGGCAGAACATAAGAATTTTTTATTTTTTTTTACACTTAACTGTTTCTGTGAAGTCCAAAGGCTTAGGCATGTAAAGTAAATTTGTAAAGTATTTTATTTCAGTGGGAACTGAGCATGCTCAAGAACATAAAGAAGATGCTCACCTCCCTAAATGAAGGAACTTCAAATTGCTGCCCCCAGAGAGGAAAAATGCAAACTCTGGAAGCATCCACCTATGGCATATTATCAGTCTGAGATACTTAGATGGTTTTCTTTTTCACAAAGTCTGAGCTTCTCTAAGCCGTCTGTGTTACAATCTTCTCACCTGTATTATATATTACGTTATAACCAGGAAGCTGAATCACAAAGTGGCCAGTCCACCCACATGTCTACTATGCACTACTGGTACATATACATGCTTTGCCCTTGTTTCTGCATCTCTTCACACAGTGAGTTTGTGCGAGTTGAAGTAGGTAGCTCTGAAGAAGCAGGACCACAGAGCCCATCTTTATTCACTGGTCAACATAGAGAATTCCTGTAGAAGGGCTACAAGAGTTCTGTCTGTCCTCTCTAAGTCCTGAGGCTGTGAAGCATTTTGCCCTGAGAGTCCTTCCTCTCTTTTGTCGGGGTTGTACTAAGGAACTGTCTTGTCCTTCAACTGGTTTTAGAGCAAGAAAGAGGAGAAACTGATTTAACATAATTATGCTGATTTCTTCTTATCGTATGGGAACAATCAGAAATCATATCTTACTGTCTTACCCTTAAAGCTCTTTCCGGCTGAATATCATTGAATTAGATAAGAAGAAAAATCCTCTACAATTGTGTGTTGGGGCTCAACTGAGGGTGCTAAATAAAACCTTGATTTTTTTTTTCTCCTTCAGAAGCTTATTATATAATAGCCAACTACACAGAAACTGAGACTCAGTGTGGAGAATGTTGCAACCATGAAATATCCAACAGAAAAAAGAAGCAACCTAAGCCACTAGCTAATTCTTCTAAAACAGAGCACAGCTTCCTTCTCTTGTGGAGGATTAAATGGCTTCTCCAGCTTTTTTGGGCCAACTGCCACAGAAGCACCTCCTGGCTGGATCAGACTTTGGGTCTTGTCTTGGCATGTGCACCAAACCAACCTACTCGTGTGGCTCCAAACACACAGATGTTCGAAGGAACCTGACTTCTGCTGAACTGCTTGAGCTCATCTCTAACAAACAGGTGCTGTGAGAACAAGAACAGTAATTGAGTTAATGTAGTGGAGAAACACAGTAAAGTGTTTTTTATCAGTCAGTTATATGATCCAGGCATATAATAAAGACAGAGTGTGACATAAAAGGCAGGAAACTGTCCCTGATAAGTATGAGCTAACCAATATTTGTTTAATAACTGGTATCTATTACATCATTTCCATTTACTGCAAAGCAACTTAATTTTTATTTAATAACTCCAGTAATTTGCCAATTTACATTTTTATAATATTTATTAGGATTATTTCCAATATGTAAAACATTGCTCCATTTAAACATACTCTTGTCACTATTTACAAATGCTTTGTTCTCAACCTAATGGAAATTGATCTTTATCTATTTTAAAATTATGTTTTTTAAATATATTGCAAATGTTGATTCAACAGTCTGTACAATGGGGTTTTTTGTTATTTTATACATGGTTTATTTTTTCTTGTTTTAATTTTGTTTAGTCAGTTTTAATATGCAAGTTTTATGGAATATTTCCATTGCAATTAATTTACTTTCCATTAGTTCTAAGCCACAAATACCAAATGCATAATCACTGCCATCTTTAAAACAAGAACAAAATGACCACTATATAATAAAGCAAAAGGGTATCCTCAGGTCGTTTTAAAGAATTTTTCTTTACATCCCCAATAGTAAAAATGTCACTGTTTAAACCTCATAGTTACAAGATTATTTTCCAATAAAATAACTATGATTTATTTACTTTTACGACATTAGAGAGTGAACAAATAGGGTTTTCACTGTGTTTCTTCTTTTTTTCTTTTTTCCCTACTTCGTCTAACACAGGGAAAATAATATTCCTGCCCTAAATGCTTTGCAATCCAATCAGAGAAAACTACATTAGGGTGCCAAATTTTAAAATTCAGATCAAGCCAGTGTGGTATACTCCTACTTCACAATCCAAAGAAGCATAAAAATACAATGATCAAACTTTCCCATTTCAACAATGAAATTTTTTTCTTTAAATAATTTTCAGCCTTCATTTTCAATTTTTCAAAATCAGGCCTCACATCTGCAAACCCAACATTAAATATTACATCTGCACAAGCCCACAGGAGAAACATGGCTGCTGATTTTGGGAACGGAGGAAAATATTGCTTATTTGGTACTTCAGTGAAATAAAAAGTAAAAGCAAAATTTTTCAAGTAGGAGGTAAAACTAGAAGGTATTTCTTCATGCAATTTATTTTACCTATCAATTAGAAAAGTAGCAGTAAAAATTCTGAAATTCATTTAAAATGGTTTAGAAAGAAGATGACTCCACAATTACAGTGCTCACTATGTCTGTTTCCAAAGAGAAGTATCCCAAATCTCCAGTTTTCCATGCTCCCCCAAAGCCTGCTACAATACCTAAGACATGGAAGAAAACAGTATCATATTGGCCACATCAGAATTTCTAGTGATGTCAACAGGACGTGAGGGTATCAACACTTTACGTCAGATTTTAATTATGGATAGAGTAAGTCTTCTTAAACATACACTGTGTCTCTACATGAACCTTACCATGCACATATGTACTTTTAAGCAAACAAGGTAGTATCCTTTAAATGGAGTGATTACAGTTTACTAGCATCGAGAGCAGTTCACCCAATGAGCAACATACCAAAATGAAGTGAGTAGTAGTAAGTCACTGTAGACTAGAAATGCTGTCATTATTACTAAAATAGAACATGGTAAGTTTTACCATGGTGCAAAACATGGTAAGTTTTACTACTTACAAGTACTAGGTCGGCTGAGTCCCAGTGAAAAAAAAAATCCAGATCCACAAAGTTGATGTATTCATATGAACAGTGAGAGGTTAAAAATGAGCATGCTAAATGGAACAAAAATAGTAACTCTGAGAAAAACATACAGAATCCCTAAGCAGATGCTAAGGAAGGCCTTTGAAGCAGTTAGTATAACTAAGTCTGAAACCAATAGGCTTATGCCTATTGAAGGACAAGGGTAATTGAAGGAAACAGTGATGAAGCAGGGAAGGAGACAGAAATAACCTCAACTGGGAAAAGATGATTCTATTAAAGTGGTCTTTATCCAACAACACATTCCTTGTGCTTTTAGTTAAGACTGTCATATATCTTTCTCAAAAGACTTTCTCCAACTAATGAGTCCAAATCTACACTGGGAATTAAGGCTCCTAGCCACATATTATGTTAACCCCCCCCCCCCCCCCCCGGCATGTGTCAACAGTGCTCCGCTCACTTGTTCCTCTCACCTGTATGTATTCTCAAGTGGACCTTTAAGTGATGTGATGTTCTGAAAGTTTTTCCACAATATGGGCAGTCTTTCATGGCAGAACCAAGGCTCCTGTCTCTCAGTAAAGCTGGCTGCTGGACTCCTACAGATCTCCCAGCTTCTTCTCCAATGTCTGCAACACAGAAATGTTCTCACATCACTTCAGCACATGTCAGAAGTTGTTCACACTAAAACTGCTAACACAACAGAAAGTTAAACATGTCAATACTACACCTGTCTATTTCATTCTTTAAATCTGACAGAATGCTGACAATTCATGTATTTTCTTGTTATTGTCTTAAATTATTTCATCTTTCCTATCATCATTTTAAGCAGCATATGGTACCTTTATATTGAACTGAATTATACAAGAAAAGAAACAGCTGTGTCAGCAGCTGGTTTGATTTCTTCTTCTGCTTAGTTCCTATTAATTTTTCCCCCAAAAGTTTTAGATTGTTGTTTTGTTGAATCTATTTCATTTATAAGTACTGTGAAAATCTGTATGCTTTTAGAGAGAAGTTTTAGAGAAGTTTGCATCAGTATATTAAAACCTCCCAAAACAAGAGAATTACAGTGATGGGGGGGGGAGGCGGGTCCAACAGCACTGGTGATGTCTACACACACGTGCTAATCAACTTCCTTCTGCAACATTTCAGCATTGGAGTTACAACGTATGACCTATAGAGTGGCCTAATATCATAGGAAAGGCAATGAAAAAATCGGTCAGATGAGGGGGAATTCCTTCTCCCTCTCACCCGCAGCTCCTGAGTTTTTTCCTTTGGTGTTCACAGCTACACTTATTCTTTGCATTGTAATACAATGCGTGAGACTCCAGGACATCTCATCTCTCTTCTGATGTAAAGAAACAGATATTCTCAGCCATCTTGAATAAGCTGCTATTATCCAAGCAGCCTATGAACAAAATAACTTACAAAAGACTGACATAAAAATTGCATAAAATGTAGGGCATTTTAAAAAAGACATTATTCAAACCACACAAGACTCATCTATCATCTTGTATTTACAGGGTCATGTAATATCACATATATGTATCAATTCACGATTTCACCAAAAAGTATCATGGCAAATGTTGAAATTCTGAACTGGATTTATGCTACCCGGCACGCCACAGAGGTGCAATACACATAGACACATCATCACACCCCTATGCAAAAGCCGACCTATCTGGGTTATATTGAGGTGGGGAGCATATAGTTAAAATCTGCATGCAAAGTCTTGATTATTTCAACCATAAACTACTGACTACAAATGTTCTGTCTTTACCCATTTGATATGTAACTAAAACTGTCAGGAAACACAGTGCAGTTTACACAGCATTGCCTTTTAAATGGAAGTGATGGGATATAAGAAAGACTTAAACATTTGGCTCTAATAAAAACTATTCACACACTAACAGAGACCCAAATACCACATTTCTGGAAAAGGTAACACTAACAGGCATTTCATTATTTATTACAAAATGGTCCCTCTAAACTATTTTGCTTAAAACCAAAAGAAGGGGATGATAGAGTGATTATATATATATATATATATATAAATGCTTATCTTAGTCATG